CAACAATAAGCTGTAGTGGTTCTGGTGACTATAGTGTCCCTTTATGTAAAAACACACTTTCCTCCACAGCACTTCCATGTTGAAGCAGCATTATAAGTTAAGTGCCTGATGAAAATATATAGTCGAACTCTCCTTGAATGGTGCATGTGCCTGCATGTATGGCACTGATGTGCAATGTAAATTAACCTCTTCAGTTCAAATGACGTAACAGTTCTCAGAGGACTCCTGACTATTTCAGCACATCATTGATTGGAGGGTGCCGCATGCAAGCAGGCACACCGTGATATTCATTTAAAGGCTGGTATTGACAGCTCCAGGTCTGAGTCTATCAGTATCAGTGAATTACCGTCATTTCCTTACATGTGACCACACTCCGAGAGCATTAGTAACGCAGTGTCTGTACTCCCAGACTTGTGGCTCATTCACAAGGAGGCTTAGAGTAAAGTGAAAATCCCAGCATTCCCTGAGTATTACGTTTGGAGATTTGTTTCAGACTGAACTGCAAGTTTGTGTGTTCAGCAGAATTTCTGAATTCCCTGTCCAAATATACCCAAATTATAGACTAACCAGAATGCGCAATGCCGAACATGTTCAAGAGGGGTTAATATTTTGCATTCTGCCCATAGCATAAAAAAAAAAAAAAAAAAACCAGAGAAAGCTGATTGATGGGGAACAAATCATTATTGCTGACTTGGAGACAGTCACTAAATGGTATGTGTTTTCACAGATCAAGTGAGAAGTGAACAATCAAGGGAAAACTGGAGGAGCAGGAAAAAAATTAAAATAAATCTATGTTGGTACATTATATATTTAAATAATATTAATATAAACATATAGATTGTATTTACTATTCCTCCTGTTTTTGCTATATTGTTAAAATATAGGCATATTATGTATATAATTTTCTGCACACTGATTGGCCCTATTTCATGCCATTTTGGTTTGCTTTTCTAATTCAGTTCTAAAATTGATGTTTGGCTGAGCCAAGACGACATCCATCCGGACCACGGGTGTGCTGAAGAATAGTCCGTCTTTGAAAAAAAATAAATAAAATTTTTTTTGGCAGAACTGAAATTTCTTGCTTTACACAACTCTACTAAGTACAACTACCTTCAAATTCAGCAGATTACTTATGTAAACGTTATTTGTTTGTGAAAGGTATGCTGGGTTGAGTGGAAAACAGAAAAAATGGGTCCAAGGTTAGTAAGTTGGAAACGATATCTGACCTGAGCTACTTTAGGACATTTTATAACTCACTGTTTGGTAAATAAATTGTCTTATTGTGAATCGTTTATATGGGCCCTCTCTCTATCGAATAAGATAGATATGACATATCCATTTTGATAGACAATAATAAAGGTTTCTGGTGCATAATCTTTTTTTCATAAATGTAATGGACTTCAAATATTCAAACAGTTTCCTGACTTTTATTACATGAGGTAAACTGTATAATGTGCAGAACTTTGAAGGACAGAAGCATTGACAAGAATAATCATGGCTCAGGTCTTAAAATATTTCTGTCAGGAAATCTGACATCTTTAAACTAGAACCAGGTGTTAAATGGGATGTGACCTGCCACTTACTCTGATATTACTTGACAAGTTCTGTTGATCCGAAGAGCATGGGTGTTCAGTCTGTTTCACACTGTATAAAATGTTGAATTGGAGCTTTAGGTGTCAATAAAGGACACGGTACAGTTTTAGATCGTCACAAGAACTGAACTACAGTTAGTTTTTAAACTTTCTTTCAAGAGGTTAACTTGACTTGCGATCACCTATTTTAATGTAAAATTTGGGATACTTAAAGGGACACTATAGTCACCTGAACAACTTCAGCTTAATGAAGCAGTTTTGGTGTATAGAACATGCCCCTGTAGCCTCACTGCTCAAACCTCTGCCATTTAGGAGTTAAATCCCTTTGTTTATTAACCCTAGTCACACCTCCCTGCATGTGACTTGCACAGCCTTCCATAAACACTTCCTGTAAAGAGAGTCCTATTTAGGCTCTCTTTATTGCAAGTTCTGTTTAATTAAGATTTTAATATCCCCTGCTATGTTAATAGCTTGCTAAACCCTGCAAGAGCCTCCTGTATGTGATTAAAGTTCAATTTAGAGATTGAGATACAATTATTTAAGGTAAATTACATCTGTTTGAAAGTGAAACCAGTTTTTTTCATGCAGGCTCTGTCAATCATAGCCAAGGGAGGTGTGGCTAGGGCTGCATAAACAGAAACAAAGTGATTTAACTCCTAAATTACAGTGAATTGAGAAGTGAAATTACAGGGGAATGATCTATACACTAAAACTGATTTATTTAGCTAAAGTAATTTAGGTGACTATAGTGTTCCTTTAAGTAAGAGTCCCAGAGTCAAGCCTCATCCACCCACAAGTTCGCATAACAAGTATCCACAGTAATTAATAAATATTGTGATAGAGTCTCATCAAGGAGATCGTACAGTGAAGACTATGGTCTAGTCTCATCAATGCATATTTCCAGTTATAACTGAAATAGGACCCAACTAGATTGCATTATATATTTTTAAAGGGACACACTAAGCACCAAGATATGCATCTTCATGGAAGACTTTCAATTTTAACAAACACCACTAATGCTTTAATGACTTTCTATAACAAGCTTCAAATTGGAGTATGTACATTGATTCAATGTATCTATGATGAGATGCTAATTGGCCAGGGCTGTGTTTGGCTTGTGCTGGCTCTGCCCATGATCTGCCCCCTTGACAGTCTTAGCCAATGAAGTGCTTTCCTATGTGAAAGCATTGTGATTGGCTGAAAGAATCACTTCTGATTATGTCAGCCAATCAGGCAGAGCAGGGGCAAAGCCAGCAGCAGCAAACTGGAATAAAAGTAAGGTTTTGTGGTGGTCAAGGGGGGTGCTTGTGGTGGTCAAGGGGGGCTAGATGGTGGTTTTAAGACTATTGGGTTAGGAATACAGGTTTGTGTTCCTGACCCAATAGTGTTCCTTTAAATACATGCTGGCATACATTTTTTTTTAAATGTCTTGTCATTTTATTTTCATGTACAAAGTCAAGCATGGCAACCAAACCACGTCCATGTAATCCTCACTTTCTGTGCATTTAAAAAAAACTTAATCTAAAATTATTATATTTCTTAAAATTAAACATATGTACATTTTCTAATTCTTTATAATCCAAGGGCTGTTGCTCAATTGGCATGACCACATTAATACTGTGAATTGAAACAGTATACCTGATAGCAGCAAGATCAGTGTAAGGCTGTTTCAGCCAGCCCCATCAGCTTTACATTTTCGGCAATGGAAATAGGAATCCCATGAGCCAAAATATCTCTTAGAATAAAGATCCAGCTAGCATGAAGTTATAAACATTACAGAAATATATCAGAGCTATGAATGAGAACAGGGAAAATTATGAGTTTTTTACCTTTAATTACATTTTGGTTGATACAGCTTCAATGTCACAAGTGTTTTAACACTTATATCTAACATTATCAACAAATCTATTATATTTATATTTTTCTTTACCCACGCAGATAACACTTTAAAATTGCACTCACACTGTCATCACACACACTTCCTATGTTTATCCTTCAATAATCGGTTATAATAAATGACCTCAAAGACTGATTTTTAAACAAATATGCAACATGTATCCTCCCTGGCAGAAATCTAGGGGGGAGGGGGGGGAGGAACAGTAATAATGTTATCATAGATATAATAAAATATATTATCAAAGATATAACTTAATCACATTTGCAGGCCTCCCAACTGTTCTGAATTTGGGTCATGTTCCACCATCCCAACTTAGGTCACTGGGGACACCAAGGAACTTTCCCCAAGCACAACAAGAGTGCTTTATTAGACACATGTGCGCTGTATTCAGGACACTAGAACCCTGCAGGGAACTTACTGTCTGGAAGGTCTGCCCTCAGTGGGCTTGCCTTAGATGAATGGTAGGCCACCTGACCTTTATTTACACTAGACTGACCTGTTAGTACTTCAGGCAGGTCTGTCCTCTTTGGGGTGGAATCAGTGACATGACCACTGACCTGCCCATTTTACCCCCATCCCATTTGCATTTGAGAGAATTCCTTGATGTCCCCAGATCAGGAACAAACCTGAGACAGCATCTCTAAACCATGGCTGTAGCACCTAACTCAGGACTGTTTAGAGTTATGCACTGTTACTTCCCAGGTCTCTAACCAATTTCATTACTGTAACGGTTCTTACCTTGAGTGGGAGTCCAACACACAGAGTTAAAGCACCCTTTGCAATTTGACACAAGCCAAGGGGACTCAAGGCAGAAATCCCCAAGGCTGTGAAACAGTGCACTGGGGGTGATAAAGCACAGTGCTTCCAGAAATGCAGTACAGGCAAGGGTAATTCAAAGAGAGTAGTCAAGGTCAAAATCAAAAGTCAGGTCAGGCAGCAAACAGGCATAAACAAAAGACAGGCAGAGTATCAAACCAGGAGTCAGACAAACAGCAAAGATACCAAACAGGAACAAACGATCTGACAACGAGTCACCAGCCAGGCAGGGTTTATATAGAGAAATTTCAGCCACTTATCAGGAACAGGTGTGCACGGTCCAAGTGTGGAGACTCAGACAACAGGATACAAGGAACAACTTTAAAATAACCAAAGATGTGTGGAGCCCAATGTAAGGTTACTGACTGGGATACAGAAGACCAAGGTTCAGGCCCAAATATACAATATTGTTTATGTCATGATGATAATTGTGACAATTCCAAATTGTTGTCACCTTTGGGTTACACATGTTTTATACACTTTTCTTTTGCATTACAAAACAGTGTAACATAAAATAAACCCTGTAAAACCCCACTTACCTTATATTATACTCATGAAATAACTTTCAACCTGAACATAAACACATTTTACGGCTATCACTTCATTTTAAATTCTGTGGGTCTTCGATGGACATCCGCAAGCTCTGAGCTGGGGAGAGGAGGTAGCAAACAGACAAATGCAGGGAGGGATTTCATAAGCAGGCACAGGGCCGTCTATAATATGATTAGGACCCTGGGCAATGCATTTTCTTGGGCCCCATGGGCCCTGTCCCTGCCACTGCCTCACCCCCCAATTACGTCCAACCCGCAATCACACTGACAGACGTACTGGCACATACACACACAGACAGACATTAAAACATTCACAGATACATACTGACACACACAGTCACTACACACAAATATATACTGGCAGACATACTGACACACACACAGACATACATACATACATACATACATACATACACAGACACATACATTAACAGATATACTGCCACACACACAAACACATACACTGACAGATATACTAAAACACACAGACACATACACTGACAGACACATTGACACACACACACAGGCATAATGACATATACACACACAGGCATACTGACATATACACAGACGTAATGGCTGATACAGACAGACATTAAACATTCACAGATATATACTGACACACACATACACTGACATACAAATATATCCTGGCAGACATACTGACACACACAGACACTGACATACAAATATAACCTGGCAGACATACTGACACACACACACACACAG